ATTGAAATATCATATATGAAGGGGCTAAACACAAGAAAAGTCATAGAACACCAAGGCACTCATCCATGACTTCCACTTCCATTTCTTCTTCATCATTTTGTATATATTTCATGTTATTTAGGTCTATGAGTAGGTAAGTCTTCTTTCTGTTGGAGTTAGATGTAATCACAAATCTCTCTTATGTATTTTGATTATATTTATATACAACGTTATATTTTCATTGATGTTAATCTTTATGGTTATTGAACCAGTTGAAGTTGTAAGAGGTTGAAAAATCCTTACGAATTTTTAACCTAAGATAAAATAATCAATAAATAATTTATTTGGACATAGAGTTGTTGATCATCTTTAAATCTTTCACCTTAGTATGAGTTTATTTTATCGAGTTGAGAAGAAATTGTAATTCAATAAAACATACTTAGGGTAATATCTAAGAAAAGGAAGATAGATATGGCCACATAAGTAAAGGTAAAGAAACTACGTGAAACAAGTTTCAAATAGGAGGTCAAGTATAGCACTTGGTTGACAAATGTGTTCATATGGAAGATCAAATATACCACTTAGTTGACAAATGTAATACTTGTTAAGAAATCGAGACCAATAATGAATGTACACAATTTTCACCAATTTGAACAAACCTTATCCAAAGGACTCATATCCACTGTTGAGCATCCACCGACTGATGTATTGTCCAACAATCGCGTACTAAGTTTGATGCATGTTCCAGATAAAACCAAATAACCATGTGTCATTCCAACAAGGACAAAAACAACCTTTATCATTAACTGAAATAATTATTACTCTGAAATTTTGTCATTCTGTATGAAAAATGCTGGTATACATACTAAAGGTTAATGGACATAATCTTCTCACATATTGGTAGAAAGATGAAAGTTTATGTAAATGACACGATGAAAAATTCTAAAACGATTGAGATCTTCTATCATATACAAAAATACCAAATACGCTTGAACCCGGGCTAGTGTATATTCGGAATTGGGGGAGCAAAACTCCTAAATTTCGTGCTGACGGGCCGGGAAGTAAAACTATGATGAAAATGCACAACCATTCTTCGAATGAAGAGAAAGAAATAGAATTCACAACTTTTTTTTATGTCTCGTGGTCCTGACAACCAAATAATAATAATAATAATAATAATAATAATAATAATAATAATAATAATAATAGTAATAATAATATAATACATTTACAATACTGTAGCTATTCGGCAGAAAAGACCTTGAAAATCTATTTACAAAAGAGCTTTCAAGTCAACGTATTTTGACCTAACCTGAAAATGGCCCCCTAGGAATGCTTAAATAGTAAATAGTATAAGAACCAAAAAAATGGAGCCAAAACAGTGATATAATCATGAAAATCTAGTGTTTGTTTTCTATAAACATGAATGAAGAAAATTGTAAGAAAGGAATGTGATCAACGTCTATTGTTGTTCTCTTTCTCGTCTAGTGTTCTTTTGTATCGCACTGGAGTTCTTGTTTCAAACACTTGAGGTTCATCTGACTTACTTGCAGCATTCCTGTCCCACAATGGGACGCCATTGGTATTTGATGACGATGAGCTTCGGGCACTCCTTCGTGTGTTGACGGGTACATCTGGTTCCACAAAATTACCCTCTGCCCTAGGGACTGAGGCAGCGTTTTCAGGCCTGGATTTCGACCTTCTGTGTGGCCTATCTTTATCTTTATTCACAGCAACATTTGCTTCACTAGTGTTACTACTTTCTTTTTTGTGTTTAAGGTTGAGTCTGGGGACTTGGATTTCCAAATTCTCTGGCTGCGAAGAAGCTTCTAGATAAGGAACAATAATTACTGTGGATTTCGTCAATTTCTTTTTCGGATTATCGTTCTTCGTATTTGATTTGATCTGCCAAAGGAAATTATAAATAGCTTACAACAAACATATAACAATTTTTTTAACGATTAACTGACAATTTTTAAAGCTAATAAACATAGAATTACTGACTGTAATTACAAATAAAGTAATATAAAGCGAAAATTCAAAATAATTGGAGTATGTGGTTTATAGAATGTTATCAAATATTGGAAAAAAACGATATTAAAAGCTTTTAACTTGCAGATATTATTCCATTTTTATAATATTTACTTGTTAAATTAATGATATTCTATCCTATTAAATGGGGAAAAAATAGTTTTGAAGTTTTAGAGTAAAAATGATTTAAAAATAAAGTCAAATGTATAAAATAATAATAATAATATAATTATAATTATTGTAATTTAATACAAAATCTATAACTATTATTATTAAATTAACGGGGAAGTAATAAAAAAATTAATAGTCATTTCTAATCTAACTATTTTTGTGAAGGATCTGTAACTAATCACGGTTGGATTATAATTATTATTATTTAAAAGTAAAGGCGTCAATATTTAAAAAATATATTTTCACCGTTTCATTAAATGTACTGCGAGATTTAATACATCTACAAAATATTAGCATAAACATTTTTTAAACCGAAAATATGTTCTTAATCTCTTTAAAATTTTCGAAGTCAAATTTAATTTTGGACGTATAACTTTTAATGAAACTAAAATGAAATTTAAAATTTTTATGAAGATTAAAAACATTTCATTTTAAAAAAAGTTATTAATATAAATAATCCTTTCTAATATGACTGCTTCATAATTTGATATCAAGAAACAAAAAAATGGTGATAAATGATTTCTAGTCAATTTACCTGGATTTTTAAATGTTATAAAAGTAAAATAAAATAAAAAAATCTCGGCAACAAAAAAGCACACAGTGAATAAAATTATTTGTAAAATAATAAGGAAGATAAATATTGAGTGAAAATTATAGGAACATAACTTAAAAGAGAAATTTTTTACCAAATTAATGTAATTTATTCTAAAATTTATCAAAACTAACGATTATTCTAAAAAATTACAAATTAGAACATATATTATAAAGTAGTATGATTTTAATGTGAAAAAACTATGTCAAATGAACAATTATTTAACTAAAAAGTCATGCCACATCAACACGATTATAATGTAAATGAAGAAATCACACAATTTTAATTAACTTAATATGATTTATTTGGAAGGAAAATAAATATTATAAAGTTTTGAAGAAAGATAAATATAGAGTGAAAAATACAAGAAACATAATTCAAAAACATTTTTTTACTGTATTAATACAATTTATTTTCAAATTTACCCTCAAGAATGAAAATGAAGAATGAACCATGTGGACAGGTCCACAAGCCTAGAAGAAAAAGCCTAGAAGAAAAAGTTCACGATAAATTGAGTATTTTCATCCATTGGCATATGCTCATAATATGCAAAACTCACAGGCCAACCACAAGGTGAAGTGGGTTGGCCTCTATAGTTTGAATTCTGTTGATTTGCCTAAAAATGTATCCATAGCTTATAACGTGTCCCTAACATAAATATTGTGGGACTTGGGTTAATATTTGAGTTATTTATATCTTTTATCAAATTTCTAAAAAGTTTGTACTTAAAAATTAAAAATTATAAAATTATAAATATTATTTATTTTAAGAAATAGATTTATAGAATTTATTATTTTTACTAATTTAATTAAATAAAAATAAAAAAATTTAGTTCTTTATGCAATTAAATTTGATTCACCTTTCACAGGTCAAATTTAATATCTCTAAAAATTAGAAATTTGAACAAGTTGTGTTAAGTAAGCTTTAACTATGATTTTAATGTAAATGAAGAAATAGTGTGATTCACACGCAACTTTGATTGACCTAATACAATTTACTTTTTTTATTTTTTTATTGTGACACAAATTTAATGTTTTTTTTTTTGTTTAAAGTTGTGTTAGTTTAATGTGACTTTAATTTAGATATTTCTTCCATCTACTTAAAATTCTTTTCATTTATGTTTTTGTGTTTAGCTGAAAATTTCCAAAAAAAAAAATATACTTAAATTTTGAAGGAAAGAATTACTTATTTTATTTAAAATCATGTTACTAAAAAAAAATTACAAGTATAAATACATTTTCTTATATTTTAAAAAAATCATAAGTATAATGTTTGTCATGAATTAATGGGTGATGATAATATTTTAAAAAAGTTATGAGCTTATTTTATAATATTTGATAATTTGTACAAACAAAAAGTTAGAATTAACATGAAAATTTAATTATTTAGTTTTATGTATTATTTATATATTTGTTTCTTTTAATATTTGTAAGATAGTGGAAAGAAAAACAATTCAATTTATAAATTTGACTATAATCCTAATTTAATAAAACTAAACTAAACAATTATTTTCATATTAACCTGTATCGATATAAAGTATCAAATATTACAAAATAAATTCATAATTTTAAAAAATATTATTATTACCAATTAATTCAACATAAACATCATACAAATATAAGAAAACTTATTTATATACTTATAAATTTTTTAGCAACATAATTTTAAATAAAATAATTACTTCCTTCCTTCAAAAATTAAGAATATTTTGTTAGTTAAACTCGTGTCAATTTTGTTTTCATTTAAACACAAAACCATAAATGAAAAAAAAAATTAGTTGAGAAAAATACCGAGATGAATACATGAATAAATTATGTTCTACAACAATTACACTTAAGTTGCGTCAATCTTAAGATTTCATACTAACAAAAAACATTAAAGTCACATCATTATATTATGTCTTTTTCTTAAAATATTACCTTAACACAATTTAACTGGATATTAAAAATAATAAAACAAACTGGGACTAAATCTCAAAGTTAGGTACAGACTTTCTAACTTCATTTACATGGAAATTGTGTTAGACTAAACATAGCTTTCCCTTATTAGTTAGAGTGTTCAATTTGGCACAAACCTTTTAATAAAGTTGGACCTATGTAAATGTCCAAGTTTATAGTTTTTTTAATAAAAATTATTCATTTTGATAAATTTGATAATAAATTATGAAAAATTAAACCCAAAAGCACATATAACTTAACAATTTTTCCAATCTTCACGTCTCACAAACTAGATAAAGAAAAATGATTTGGACAGCTTTATCAGCATGATTTATTCAAACCACAACTCTTTATATTTATATCATTTTTAATTAGATAATTTTTTATTCTATAACAACAAAATGTAAATATTTTATTTGATGACATAGTTAAATAATTCTTTTAAGTAACTATTTAATTTTTCATTTAAAAATAACCATTATATGTTTTATAAATCAATTTTACAAAATTGTTTTCTTTTCTTAAAATTATATTATTTTAAGAATATTAATGATTTATTATGAACATTACTGATTTTATAAAATTAATATTAACTCAAAATCATTTATAAAAAGATAAATTAGTTCTAAAAATATACAAAAGTTTGTCATTTTTTAACAAAATGTGTTGATAAAAGTGTGAAGATAATTGTTTTTATGAAAAACGTATCTTTGAAATTATAGAAATCAGAATCAAATGCATGTAAATCTATCACCCTCGATAATAAGATAATAATACTTTAACAACATTTTTTTGACAACATTTTAAAACCATTTTATATTGATATTTATAATTATTATTATTGATTATGAAATGATTTTAGACCAATCACATAAATAATATTATAATGTTGTCAAAATATATTGTTAAAGTATTCTTATTCAAATAATACTGTTAAAAGTATCATTATCCAAATAATAAATTAAAAGCACGCACCTGTCTATTTCCTATGTCAGAGAGAGGTTTTCTGTGCCCTTGATCATTGTTTGTCTCGGGATGCCTATCAACCCAGTGCCCCCCCTGAAGTAACTCTGCACCTTGAGTAACAAGAATACGATCTTTCTATGTTTCTTCAATAATGGCAGATTGTGCTGGACATTCCCCTGATTCCATTTGATATCGATGCTCTGTTTCGCGGCACTTATTTACTTGGCAACCACAAGAACTCCCAAAACTGCTGCCCATTGATTTGCAGATGCATTTTGTCGTCTTGCATGATGAGGTTCTGCTACAAGGGCAGCAAATATCTGATGCACTTTCCCAAGGTGTATCAAATAAATCTCTTGAATTTTCTCCCAAATCTTCCGAATTGTTGATATTGGATTCATTATTTTCAATGTTTGTTTTAGATTTCCTTTTTCTAACTCTTAAGTTTCCCGATTCTTCCCAGTCGTCATCTGTGAAATCATAATAATCTGACTCTGTCTCAGATATGTCCATATCCTCCAATGACCGGTGGTATTCCTGAAGTTAAAACAAGTTTGCAATGAATTAAATATTTAATTAACTATTTCCCATTAAATGCAGCAGCTAAAAGTGATACGAGTTATTTGATGGAAAATCCTTTCCTGGCGTTATTTTAAGAGAGCTAGCCAGATGATGATATGTCAGACCTACCGAATTGCGCAAGTCATACTTATGACCTCCACCATTCGAGTCCGGAAATTCTGAATCTCCCACAGATTTCTGAGTTCAAAATTCATCATTGCATAGTTTCAAATGATTAGAGTAGAGAAAACATTAATAGTTGAAGAATCAAACTTGTTAAGGAAGATTATTAGTTGTTTAATTAATGCTTTATCTAAATCATAGAAAATATGTAGCTAAACACAAACCTGCAATTCTAACTTGTGAGTCAGTTCAGCTTTTATCTTTTCCGATTGTCGAAGTGAGTAGCTTAGCCACACTACTTTTTCTTTTAAATCTCTTATTTCCGTTTCCTTCTCTCTGTAAATCACTTCTTTATCTCGAAATGAACATCTGTGATCAAGAAATAGAAAAAACAGAGGTAAGATGTCAAGATCACACGGAAAATTTTGGATTACTTGTGAAGTTTAACTTCGTAATATACCTGGACGAAGATGCAATATTGAACAAATAGTTCATCAAATTCTTGGCATCAGCAAGGGACCGAACTTGGTTCCAACGCCCTTTACCACTGAAAACTCGTTCTTGCTCTTCTGCCTCCGACAACTGGGATAACATAGACACTAGAGTTGCGGAAGAAGTCGAAAGCTTGTTTTGAAGGGCAAAATCCAGAATGTCTTGCACCAGGAGACATGTTGTAGACAGTCACTTCTATATCAGCAGCAATGGGAGAAGTTCTCAGGACATAGATTGCAAAAAAAAGGATTTTAAAATTAATCGGTGTATGTAGTTCAAAAAATTAACTTCAAGGGAATTTCACCTTGCACTATTGGATTCACCATTTGTGCTTCTTCCTTTAAAACATAATTTCAGTCTCCGCAGCCCATTTTAGCCCTCCTGAACGTAAAGAAAGAAAACAAGTAAATGAATTAGTGAGAAAGCTAAAAAAAATAGAATCGAAAAACTGTAACATACAAAAAAGCGTAAATGCTAAAAGGACCAGTGTTAATAACATCCAATTACCAGCAGATACTCATAGACACATGAATACCATGAAACTTAGCAAATAATCAGTCTGAGTGTTCTCACATGTTAAAACTGACTTGGATAGAAAAGAAGAGCAACCAAATTTGGCACACGACAAAATCAATACAATGACTAAGTAATAATGGAATGTCCAATGACTTCAGATTGGCTAATCATACTGTGGCTTATTTATAAAAGGTAGAGCATGTGCAAATTATAATATTCTTACACGTATAAAAGCTCAAAGGATGGGGATTTCCAACCGTATTTGCCATTCAACGTATTGCATCAAATTTAAAAATCTTACCAAATTTAATCAAGCAGCATCAACCTGATTTGAATCTTGAAGATAAAAAAGGGAACATTACACTTCCTTTTGAGCGTTCACATTCTTGAACGACTTCATGCACTCGGACATTGAACCTCAAATTCTCATGCTCAATTGCCTTCATCAAACCTTTCAAAGAGAAAAACCATCAAATATCAAACAATCTATAGCACGCATGAATATGATGGAAGCCTGCTCCAGTCGGGCCAATAGAAGCTACGAATTTTTTAATTTGTCCAGCATTTCCAGGACCATTTAATCGACTTCGTTATTGTACGCAGTTTACATAGACATCATTAGCTGTACCTGAACTCCAACGCCATTCCCACCTCCAACACCTGTATAAACAATTTGTTGGTATCAGTAAGCTGATGAAGTAGGATAAAGAGCCACACGATCCATAAAACATCCTAACCAATAGTTTCACGTGCGGAAGCTTTTCGAGATTCCAGAAGTTCTTTCAGCCTTTTCGTGGCCAAGGAAGCTTCTTCTGTCTTCCTTTGCAATACCTACAATGAACACTTGAATAGTGGGTTAAATGGCATTTAAATAAGATACATAATAACAGGTGATATGAACATAAACTCACCATCTTTTGTCTCTGGTTCAACGCTAACAACTTATGCATCTCATATTCATTCCTTCTGCCCTCTTTCTTAAGCTGGTAGTAATCAAAATACAGATTTGATATTATTATTCGTAACTAATATATCTTTTGAAACAGTGTTGGTGAGAGATGTTGTTGTGCTTGTATTAAAGATTAAAAGAGTTACCTGATCCCCTCTCTATATGAGCAAGACAAAAAAAGTATAGACAAGACCAGTATCGCATAAAAAAGGACTCCAAGAAGTTGGGAAAGTATTATAGTCTACATGATTGTAGAATGGAATAATAAACTAAGAATGCTATTAAAGAAACAAACAGAAATGTTCCCATTTACATTTACCTGGAGAACTTCTTTTTCGCGCGAAGCTTTCCATAATCTAAATTGTTCTGATTCCTGCTTAATCTTATTTTGAAGATGAACCTAGAGGGGGGGAAATAAACAATGAGTGACAAAGAGAATACAAACTTTCTGATAGTAACTACAAATGCAATGTCTCACTGGATCATTGCACCTTTTGTGCTTTAATTCTGTGTATCTCATCCTGAAGTCCTTTTGCAAACTCTTCACTTTTCTGTTTTTGTTTCAGGACTTGAGCTTGAGCTTCTTGCTTCCTTTTCAACTCAGATACCTATAAAGAAAATAATCAGTTCATCGCATGAACTTATGCATTGAACATTGTCACATTCGAAATAGAAAAACCACCTGTGCCTCTAGAGCATTCAACTTTTGAAGATAATCCTGCTTCAACATTTGAGAACCGTCATCAGAAGTGGATGAAATATCCGCAAGATTGCACTTGAGTTCTTCAATTTCTTTCTACCAACAATATATCGAAGGGATTGTCACGACATTTTTAAATGTAAAACAAACTTCCCAAGAAGCACATTATTAGATGTCTTTGCACAGGACAGTAAATTACCTGCAAAACTTTCTTCTCTTGTTCCATCTCTAGAAGTTTCTTTTCATAATGATGCCTGAGAACTAAAGCACCAGTATTACTACTGTACAGCTTCATTTCAGCCTTCAACCAGAGAAAAAAATAAAAGGTAGAAACTTGTTAAAAAAGTAACATCCCTACCATGTAATATAACAGATTTACTCCTCTTCAAATCTGCATTGGTAAATAACATTTTGTTTTTATATGCAACTGATATATAAAATGTGTCACTCGTTCCCTGGTCAAATTTCTCTTACTAGAATGTCCAGGATCAAAATTCTAGAAACATTTTATATATCATAATAAACAAATGTTATTCTCCAACGCTGATTTGAAGGGACAAAACGAGAGCAAATCTCATCCATTTTAAATCAATGACTTGGTTGAGTTTAGCATAATAATAGTGATGGAAAACTACCCTAATTGTAGTTACTTATGACCCACATTAATTGTGGTCACCCCTAGTCATATGACTTGCATATAACTCAAAATTTAGGCAATCCTCATACTTTAAGCTAGCTTTATGGAGTTGACTTAAATTATAAGATCAAGGGTGTATAACTTATAAGCTATTGCTTAGTTACGGAGATATGGCTTATATATAAATTATAAAGCTTGGGAAATCCTCTTCACACAATCTAGTTTTGTCGAGTTAAAGTTTGGGTTAGGCCGAAACCCAAATTCTATGAAATAGTAATTACTATGAAACCTGAGTGCTTTTATTGAAGGATAGTCAACAACAGAGAGGCTAGAAATAAAAATAGTAACAGGATGATTGAAAACATTGGACATTTCCGTTAACTTCAAATGAAACAGTTAGTTGACGGCAACCTTCTAAGATAAAAGAATGTAATGAAAACTAACCTACAAACTTATATTTCAAAACCATGAAGAATGTTAAAAGAAAGGAAAATTCAAAGAAACTGTCTTTCAACCTTCTTAAGCTAGCTACAACTCGTCAGGTTATAAAAAAGGAAAAAATGAGGTCGAAATTAATGCTCACACAAAAAACATTTTTTTATATGGAAAAAGCGGCTTCATAATACAGCGGTCAACATGTAAATGACTTAGGTAGACAAGAAAATTTTACCTCCTTTTGTTCAAGTTTTCTATCCAATTCTTTGAGCTCTTTATCTAACTTTTCTTGAACAGACGAGTGTTCTAGTTCCTTTTCATCATCTTCCATTTCATCTACAAACAAGGTACACATGTTTTAAAATACAAAATATTTTAGATAAAATGACAATGTGCAAAGAAATATAAGTAGTTCAAAATGATGTCGCACAATATTTCGGAATCAATTACGTAATCTCAAAATTAATGGTGGTCTTGTCTCAACTAAGAAAAATTAGTCACCAATACTTTAGCGTCAGCTTCATCAATTTTTTATTTCATGCCATCACATTTATAATTCTTGTGTAACACTATCAATAAGTTTCTTCCTTTGAAAAAGTAATTTCGTACTAACAGATATAATTTTTTTTTCAATCATTTAATGGTTCCTGTCAGATGTACAGCACCACAATGACAAAAAGAAATTCCCAACGCACTATATCCTCCTGATATAGTAACAGCTTTAACATCACAGTCAGAAATAAACAAACCAGGTGCGAATAAAGCATGTTTTGATCCATATCCATCGTCATCAGAATCAAAACAATCAACAAAATGACTTGAATTTGTTGCATTCCAAGTTTTCAATCGAAGCAATTCTCCTTCCAGATCTTGGATCTTTGAAACATAAGATTTCAGTAGGGCATAATCCTGTAAATAAGTTCAGAGCACACTTCAGAGATGGATCTACTTCTCAAAACCGTAACCACCCATTAAGGCATAACACATTCAAACCTGATTCGAATTTGAGTCAATCTCCTCCCATGATTTACCATTTCGAATTGATTCTATTTTCAAAAGCAGTTGGTCCCTTTCAACCTAAAAACATTTTCAGTATTGTGAGTGAGACCAGCACATGAAGTAAAAGAGAACACTACAGAGATATTGTAAGGAACTCAGAAAATTGATAATAACTGAGAAGGGAGTAAGGATTAAAAGAAAACCTGGGTCTCAAGAGCACGTTGGGCAAAATTCTCAGACGTTAACTGGCGTCTTTTAAGCTCATGTTGTAGCTCTGCATTACTTGCTTCAAGTAAGGATATTTTGTGTTTAAGAATCTGAAAAATTAAGAGAAAAATATTACCATGACATAAGAAACATTCAAACAAATCTACCACAATCTAGAAATGATGTACCTGAACCTCCTCGATAGGTCCACTTGTATCACCTCTATAAAATAGAAGCTCAGCTTGCAATTGCTCAATCTGATTCCGCATTGTCTGCATCTGAGCTGCCACTGGATCTCGATTAATCTGGAACAATAAAATTCAAAATTATTAAGAACAAAATACCCTGCCTAGAGTAACAAAATAAACAAGGGATGGAAAATTATGAATACAATGCACTTACAATTGCCTTGTTCTGAATGTTACGAGCACGATTTGCATATTTTAAGGTGTTCAATGTCTCTTCAGCATTTGTATCGGCTGGACTAACACATGCTGTAACATTCTCGACAGGTTAGATGATGCATGCATGTGACTATATGAAACACAAAATTAAAAATATTCCATCATGCATCAAGTCTGTACCTATCATCACAGTTTTGTTGTTTCCTCCCAGAGAATCCTACATATTCATCATTCAATTGCATTTCATGATAAATAATTTAAATCCATTCCATATATATGTTCAAGTAATCACTACAAACAAAGCTTTTTATCGTGTACTTTCTGTAACGGGTTTTTCTAAACCAAGTTCGGAGATAGGATTGGCAATACATTCTATCCACATGACACTTTAGTTCAATAGTTTTAATACATAAACAAATGACAAGGTGCAGTATCAACAAGGCAATAACTCATGCTTTAGTATTAATATAAAAGTTATATTTTTATGCCCTATTATTTCTTACATTATTTCACATCGTACGAAGAATCGTTATGCAAATGATACAATAAACAAGACAGATGCACCGAGGATAAGAATTACTACTTATTGCTTAACCTGAAGTAGGCGCGTTAACTTGCTATCACGATATGGCACATGTCCTCCTTCTTTTCGCTTTTTTTCTTCTCCAAGTGCACTTATTACATTTCCAAGAGCTAATAAACCCTTGTTGATATGAATTCCTAATGCATGAAAACAACAATTGAATATTACAAAGAACTCAGCTAGGAGAATGGGCTTCAATTAACTCTGTTGTCAAAGTTTTATATTTTAACAATTGTTAATAAATACTGTTTCTGTACAAAACCCATTATTCCTAGAGCTATATTTCGGTTGCACTGTATCATTAACAATGACAAATACCTTCTTTTAAACGCAAGCCATCGGCACCAGTTCGTTTCACTCGTTCAGAACCAGCTAGATCAACCAAATGGAGCTTGGCGCATAAGATGTCGTCACCATTCTTTTGTTCCATTGAGATTGTGAAGATAGCATGTGAACGACTAGGCGAAACATGATGTGAACCATACAGTTAACATATTATAAGTTAATTTTTCAATGTAAATTTCATGCGTATTATTGGTACTATAAGTTTACACTTATTGTCAAAGTAAAAGAATTTGAAAACATTTTCATGACATTTTACCTTGATTGACTATTCATATTGGTACTCCCAGTGGCGCGTGACAATGAACCACTTGAGAGATACGATGCCATTTCATCTTTTGTCTTAACATCAGCCTCGGTCACCCCAGCAAGTGTTATTCCTCCGTTCAATGTTTCTCTGATTTGTATGGGAACTCTGGTCGGGTGTGCAGCAACCTTTGTCGTAGATGTGACCTCTCCTTTAGATGTACTAGAATCAAGCAAATCAAAAACCTCTTCTTTGAATATCTGTCAATTTTTAGCAAATGAAGCTCTAAAAGTTTGATCTCAATTTACAATATCAGAAAAATTCGTCTTCATCAATCAACAATACAACATTTTGTTCACCTCGATAAATGATACTCTGATAAAGAATTCCGTGGAATCTGTTGTAGTCTTAATTCTGTCAAATATGGTCTCCATTACCCTGGGTATAATTCCACCACTACTCACCTCTTCGTTATAATTGGTGCCCATCGTGTATGTTTTCCCGGAGCCCGTCTTGCAAAACGAGAAAGCATTAAAAAACCCTCAACAACTGTAGGATATAGACAACAAAGAACAAGTTTCCAAGGCAAACATTTCATAATCATCACAACCGTAATATAACCAAAAACATTTGAAATTATACCTGACCGTAAGCAAGAACTGTAGCATTATATCCATGGAACAATGCATCAACAAGCGGAGCCACACAATCGTCGTAAATTGAAGAGGAAGGTGCCCCCGTGCTACCATACACATAATCATACGTGAAACAATGTGATCCTATTTGCACCTACCAAAGACACCAGTATCAATTTCATAGGTTTTACGATAAATAAAATAAAATAAACTCCAAGATTGCGAAATAAACCTTAACTAGAAACATCTAGGAATTCAGAAACAATATAGCACCTGAGGTTCACCGGAGACAACTGAAATACAGTCTGTGCAACCGTGAAGAAGCTCCGACGTAATCAATGGACGTATATTCACCGCGACTCGCACGCATTCGGTCTCCATCCCCTCTGTTTAACTCAACCGTTTGGGAACTATAATAGTAATTTATCGCAAAAATCAATATCGTAATCAATGTGAAACACACGAAGCATAGAAACACGTGAAGTTCTGAAGCATAAAAGATAAGAAAAAGAGGCTTCGCGTGAGTTTCTTGTGAGCAAGAGTGTGAGAGAGAAGAGAAGGGAGAATCAACAGAATAGAGGATTTCTTCTTCGTCGTGGAGAAGAAGTAACAGAATGAGGACGTGTTGTTGTTGGATTTTTGTTAAACGGAAATGGCGAAAAAGGCGTTCGGGTCGAATTCGAATGCGGAATGTGATCACGCGCATGTAGCGGTACAGTAGTCTATGGGAAAAATTTTCCATGTACATGTTTTCCACCTCCAACCCCTTACTTATCAAAATAACAAAACTATCCTTCTGAAAATTAGTTTTGGTATTTGTAGGTGTTGGAGTGGTTGTATTGTGTATTGACCATCGAGCTTGTGGGAGCTTAGAGGTGGTAGGTGGCTTTGTTGCATTGTGTGTTTTGTGAGTATTTTTTTTTCACTTTTTAATTTTTTGTTTTGAATTGTGAAATTAAAAAATCTTTTAATACTGAATTATAATATTTTTTTATAGAATGTTATTTTGTGTTAATGCAGTATCAAGGTATTAAATTGTTTTGTAATCACTGTATAAACAAGTTTAGTGGTGATTTTGAATCTAAAGATGGAGTCCAAATTTTAGAGTAGGAAATCCAATAAAGTAGAAAAGTTGTTCGATGGTAGAATATAATATAATGAAATTTGTGGCATCTGAAAATGAATGTATTGAAGGAGATTGCATTAGACCTTTTAGAACGCATAGAGGTAAATAAAATGTCATCCTTTTGTGTAAAAAAATGTGACAAACCATGTAACTATATTGTAGTATATTTGTGTAGGTATTTGGTATAACAGATGATTTACTTTAACATCTATGGAAGGTGGTTTTTAGACTTGATTTTGTAGTTTTCATATTGAGATCATACTAAACAAATGAACAACTAGCCGAAATACACATGTTTTTTTGTTAGGTTATGAAAAAAAGTGAAAAGTATAGAAAATACAAACATAATTTGGAAGTGATTATACAAGAAAATATGATTGTCCTTTTAAATTGTGAGGTAAACATATTTACAATGAAAAAGATTGAGTATTAAAGGTAATATGTGAGAGTCATAATTATAAATTGATAGATATATTAGTTAGTTGCTCTTGTCTTGGAAGATTAAAACTGAAAGAACATTTCATGTTTGTTGACATGGCTAAAAGTCTAGTAAAATCGATAAATATATTACTTACTTTGAAAGAGAATGACTCAAATAATGTCACAATAATAAAACATGTCTACAATGTCAAATATGCGAACAAGAGATATAAGGGAGGATCCATAACTAAAATATTAGAGTTAATAATGTTGGTAGAGTTTGACAATTATATTCTTTGGAATAGGTGTAATGAGTCTTCATAAGTTGTTATAGATGTTCTTTTATCACACATCATTTCAATTAAATTTCTAAATACATTTAGCATTGCATTGTTGATGAAAAATACTTACAAATTCAACAAATATAGGTTATCTGCTTTGAGATAGTAGGTGCGACGTCTAAAATACTTAAAATGTTATTTTTAAGATTGGATAAGTTCCTTCAAGTCATTGTTAGTGACAAGGATCTTGTTTTGATAAATTCAATTAGCATTGTCTTTCTTCTATCTTTCAACCTTTAGTGTCAGTAAGAATGTTAATGCAAAATATAAAATGTTAGTAGATTTTTTGCAAGCTTGGAAAGTTGTTATGCATGCATGGTCAATTGTGATGGATTAATTAAATTTTAATGCATTTATGGGGTGTTTGAAATGTTTTGAAGTTGTTTGTTCACTCATAACCATCATATGTTTAATATATGAGTGGTATATGAATCATTGCATACAAGAAAAAAATTGTTGAGGCATGGACAGACATTATGGGCATTTGGAGAATATAATATTAAATAGGTATGTTTGTATGTGTTCATTAATTCTTATTAATACACATGTCAAACTAGGTTCTACATTATTTATTGTTTTATAATATGCAAGGTTGAATTTGTTAGATTAGAATTTGAAGCTAGTACTTCAAAATGTATATGTATTAGGACACAATAAAAAAAATACCATAAGACTACAACATAATGAAATGAACCTTTGATAGGAGCCTACATGATACTTTCAATGTGAATTTTTATAAAAGATTGCATTGATTTGTATTTAAATATGCATTTATGCATATTTATGAAGAATTTGATCAAGTTACACGTGTGGTTATTGATAGTGAATATTGTGGTTGTGTTGAGACATACTTTTAAAATCCTTTATGTTTTGTTTAGAAAAGGTAATTTAGAAATGTAATTCATTTATTTAAAAATTTTAAAATTATTCACACTAAAATGACTTGTTTGGATAAAATAATTAGAAAAAAAATTGAAATTGAAGAAATTTTGGAAGGTATTTCAAATGAATAAAATAGAAGAATTTCAAATACCCTATAAAATATAAGAATTTGAAATTTTACTCCTTTTCACTCTACTCACAAAGGTTGAACTATGGGGCTTAAGTTGAAGGCTTGATTGAGTTAGCTTAAACAGAAGGCTCAGTCGAGTTAGTTCAGACTGAAGACTCAACAAAGTTAGCTTGGGATAAAAGTTCAATCGATTCTGCTCAAACCGAAATTCAAGAAGAATTGGTCCAAGTCGAAGGTTGAGAAGGATTGACATGGACTAAAGGTTTAGACGAGGGCGAATGTCGAGATGAGTCGGTGAATGCCAAAGGTCAAGCCAATTTAGCATAAGCCAAAGGTTGAACCAATTCGACCCGAGCCAAAGGTCAAGCCTATTGGACCTAGGATAAAGCACGAACTGAGTTAGTCATGGCCGAAGATCAAGACGATTTGATAGGGTCAAAGGTTGAGACGACTACACCCAGCCCGAAGGTCAAGATGTGTTGACAAATGTTGAATGTTGAGACGGTTCAACAAGACGGAAGGCCGATATGAGTCAGTCTTGGTTGAGGGTTGAGCTAAATTGGTTCGAACCAATGGTTGAGCTGAGTCTACCTGTGTTGGGTTTGACCAGGCTGAAGGTTAGTCGAAGAAGGCCCAACTGGAAGGTTGAGTCAATTCGACTCAGGCTAACGGGGTTAGGTCGAAGGTCGAGTCGAGTCGAATCCAACCAAAGTTCGAGACAAGTCGGTATGGATCAAAGGTCGATATAAGTTAAATTAGGCCATAGGTTAGGTAAGTCAATTAAGCTTATTCTTCGTAGGCCAAAGCTGAAGCCAATTCGGTTCAAGCCGAAACTTGAGCCGATTCATCTCAGAATGAATGACAACCTAAGCCAACCATGATCAAAAGTCGAGACAATCAGCTAGATTGAAGGTTGAGATGACTAGACCCATACCGAAAGTTGAGATGGATCGACACATGTCAAAGGTCAAAACAAGTCAATTTGGGATTTAGGTCAAGGCGAGTCATCCTTAGATGAAAGTCAAGAGGAGTCGACCCGAGCCAAAGTTGGGACGACTTGTCTCGGGTCGAATGTTGAGACAATTCAATCTAGACTGAATGTTGAGACTAGTTGGTATAGGTCGAAGTTCAAGATGAGTAAGTTCAAACCAAAGGTTGAAACAAGCTAACTTGGATCAAAGTTCTCGAACCAAAAGTCAAGACAAGTCATCTTGTGCTAAAAATAAGAACGAGTTTGCTCGAGCCAAAGGTCAAGCTAAGTCAATGGTAGATTTGAATTATCTAAATTCTTCTAAGATAATATTTTGTCTTAAAAAAATTGTTTTATCCAAAAAAAAACCTAATATATTTCAATTTTTTCATACAAATAAACTTTTTAAAATAGAAAAAAAAGTTCAATAAGTAATATATAAATAATGTATTTCAATTTCTTGAAATTATTAAAATCTTCCATACAAGGTTAAGATATTTGGAGGCTTAGGAAGGCCTTCTTTTGGTGTTTGATTATGAGGGTCTTTAGATGATGACTTTGTTCCACTAAAAAGTTTCTTCACCATCGTCCTAATGTATTCTATAATGGACTTGTTCCGGAAAAAACACAGGCAATAATGCGGTTGACACTTCGGAGTTCATTTGATATATGATCATATCTCTTTGCCAATGCATGCTCGAAAGACTTCTTCTACATAACCTATAACCTGTGGTCTTTTCGTGTAGTACATTTGTGCCGTTTGGGAAAATGACTCTTCATCACGAATGATTTTGAGGGTTAAAGGCACCACATCCTCCATATCTATTGAACTTTTGTATGCATATTGGCAGAGTTATTTTTCCAACCCAAGTTTATTATTGTACAAAGTAATGCTACAAGAAATGTGTGTTGGAGTTGCGAGAGTTATGTGATTATGGTTTGTATATTTCTGCCATCAATGTATATATATGAATCAGTCCATTGTATTGTTTTTATTGTTTCACATTACAATCATTTTCTTAATTTTTCTAAGCTTTTCAGAAAATGGTGAAAATCTATAAAGGGGGCAAAGTGTTTGAAAGTGGAAGGAAATGCGTCATGTTTAAGAAAGTTGACAACCTTGCCATCTTAGAACAAATAAAGAAAACGTGAATATTATAAAATTTCCTATAAATGTTGAACAAAAAGAACATGTTTTGATCGAATTAATGATAGATGATTGAAAACCAAGAGAGAAAACCATGAAGCTATATAATTCTTACAGAGATATACATACCTTGGAGACTTTGCTCCAGCTATTTGGATTGTTTTGTCCTGGCTTTCCTACCACCATGAATATGCATTGGTTGTGACTCTTTGCAACATTTTTCTATAACAATTAAACACATTTAACCCATTGAGGTAACACCGTGATGATTAAGACAAATGAAACCAATATGATGGTACAAAGATTAACAAATTAAGGAACACAGAATGTCTGATTAGAATAACTGCAATAACTTAATTAATGATGTTGGTGGTTAAAGAAATTTAGGTAAGAGAGAAACAAGACATGAAGAGGAGGATACTTCTCCACAATCATTGGTGTCTAATGTATTGAATCTTTGAAGAGCAAAACGTTTGGAAGGCTTTGTTATAATATTTTTCCCTCTTAACGGTGCTTTTAAGTGGGTACACCAGTCTTTTAGGAAGAAATATATATATTTAAAAATGTATTTTTAAATTAAAAAATATACTTCCAAAATGATTTATAAATTATAATTCATTTTCCATTACATTTGATATAAATCATCAATTATTTTTCTCAATAAATATTTTTATCTAAATATAAAAGCCTAACTCA